CATCGCCCTCGTCGACCCATTCGACCAACGCCTCGCGCGTGGCTTCCGTCCACTCGCACCCGCCTATTGGGCCCATCGCCTTGACCCAATCCACTCGCGTGTCCGCTCCATCGCAGCCACGTCCCGTGCACGCTGTCCACCCTACATCCTCCCCTCGTGCACCATTGGCCTTTGCCCGCATTCGTCGTGTGCGTCGCTCTCTTGCGCACGCCTTGCACCAATCACCCACCTTCCCAGGCACAATCTTCTCACTCTCGTCGTCGGCCCAAGCCTCGTGCTCGTGCTCACTACTCGTCGCGCACCTCTTCTTCACCCGGCCTAGGCTCGCACGCCTCGCGGCTCGGTTGCCGCGTCCCGTCGGTACACGCGCCTTAGTGTGTGCGCACACCCTCCTAGCCCGTGCCCGAGCCCTTTCTCGCCTAACCTCTTGCTATCTCTCGAGGCCATCGTGGTTCTCGTCCTCGGGTTCGCCGGGGTCAATGACCACATCCGCATCATGGTGCCTGGCCGCGTCAGTTCTCGCGCCAGTCACACTTGGGTCGTGCCAGCCGCACGCCCAGTGCCCAGTCAGCCCGGGTACGCGTCAGTCCCACGTCCCTCGTGTTCGGTCGTGCCCAGCAGCGCGCCAACACTCCCAGTGACCCTCGGCTATGCCCAGTAGCACCCGAGTGGCACCAGTCGTGCCCGTGCTCGCGCCAGCAGTGCACCAAAGCACCCAGCCACCCTTAGCCGTGCCCAGCAGCACCTAGTGGCACCAGACGTGCCAGGGCCCGTGCCAGCCGCACCGCCCGTGCCCAGCAGCGCCTAGCACCGAGGCCGATCGCACCCAGCTCGTGCCTAGCACCGTGCCAGGGCCCCAGCAGGCCCGGCACGGGACCGAGCCCGGCCAGTCCATGCAGCCCGTGACCACCCATTCCAGAGTGAACCGGCGGTCCGACCCGGTCCAGTTCAGCCCGACCCGGTTCAGTTAGTGAGCGAACCAGATGTTTTAGCCGGCAATTCGAGTCAATTTTGGTTCGTGATTTTCGGTCCGAGTCTTATTCCAAAATCTAAGTATTTTTCTGAGCCAAACCAAATCAGTTAAGCATATCAGTATAATTTCCGGACTTAGAATTATTTTAGCGAACCCATAGAGCGTTCCTTTATATCCGGATGAGTAATCTGATAGAGTAGAGCATCCTAGCATATTTTTGAGCATACGACGAGCATAGTACTTAGTATATTTGTTTGCTTATATTTTTATGTAGCTTGAGGAGTCAGCTACCAGCACAGCCGCACTTACTCGTTTTCAAAACCGATCAGATGAGGACCCAGTCTGGGTTATACATTGAGTTTAATAGTCGATATCACGTTCAGGTATGTATATGAGTTTTATCCACTTGGGGTTAAGGCCCAGTTTGCCTTCCCTAAGTTCTGGTGGTGGCCCTGTTTGCCCTAGTTATACCATCAGAGTGTGCACACGGTTACCGGCTAGAGAGTTCCGAGAGTTACCGGCCAGAGAGTTCCGGAAGTTTCAGTTTACTTATATATACCAGTCTGTGATATCATTATTAATATTGTTGTGTACTTTAGAATGGATTTTTATGGAGTACAAGTGGACCGTACTCACCCCCACTTTATATTTTCAGATGGCAGGGTCGGCGGGCAGGCGTGAGATGAGCTGTGGTGGTGGTGGTCGTGAGTTCCGCACGAAAGCTGTTCCTGGGACATTTGTTTAAACTGTTGTGTAAACTATTATAACCACGTATTTCAGACTTCCGCTATGTTTGCGTTTATTTTCGAACATGCATGACGTTATTTACAGACTTAAATAATTTTACCCAGTTCGCCAGTACGAACGGGTCCAGACTAATATGCATGATTCGTTAAAATATAAACCTGATTTCTTAAAGACTAAACCAGACGTTAGACCTAGGTTAATAAAATGGGTTTTAAGCAGAAAAGTCCTTAGCAGCATCTCGATATAGCTTGCAAATGATTTCGAAAAATTTATAAGCAGTTTTCGAAAGAGTTTAAATTTGCGAAAAAAAATTGGCCCTAGTTAGCGGGGTGTTGCACTGCTTCTGCCCATTTTGTGAAATAGTCCACAACGACAATGAGAAACTTGACTCCTCCTTTGCCGGTTGGAATGGGACCGATTAGATCAGTCCCCCATTTCGCAAATGGCCAGGGACTATAAACAGATTTAAGTGACTCGGGTGACTGATTTATGTTGGGTGCAAATATTTGACATTTTGCCCAGCTTATTACCCAATTTGCTGCGTCCAAAAAGTCAGCCAATAGTATCCTTGGCGAAGAATTTTGTACGCCAAAGCTCGTGCTCCATGGTGGCTTCTGCATATCCTTTCATGAATTTTTTCGAGCATGTACTTGGATTCTTGCTCGATTAAACATTTCAGTAAAGGGGTTGAGTATCCTCTTATGTATAGAGTTCCATTGTCTAGGGTGAATGCTGCTCAGATGCGGAGAGACCGAGCTTCTTTGGGATTATTTGGCAAGGCCCCGGTTTCCAAATAGGCAGTGATGGGGTCCATCAAAGTCGGATCCTTCTTTGATGGGTTTAATTTAGCATTCATGACTTCCTTGATTGAAGTTGATGATTGCTCTTGCTGACCGACTTGAACGTATTCGACACTTTCCATGCATGTTCTTGATCTAACCTTGAGAGAGCGTCGACCTGAACATTTAAAGTTCCCAGGATATGCTCCACTTGTGCGTCAAACTTGGATAACTTTTGTTTTGTCAGTGTAAAATATGCCACTAACTGAGGTTCTTTTACTTCGAAATCTCCGTTCACTTTATTAACCAACAATTGTGAGTCGGAGAAAAAACCTTTAGTTGGGTTATGTTCATGGATTCTGCCAAGTTTAAGCCGGAGATCAGTGCTTCGTATTCGGCTCGATTGTTGGTTGCTGGAAATAAGAATTTGATTGAGTGGCAAAAGAGTTTGTTTTCTGGGTCTACTAAAACGATGCCTCCACTAGCTCGGTGCTCAGTTGATGACCCGTCCACGTATAGAATATAAGGTTGATTTTCGTTTACCGGTTCTACCATTGGGATGAATTCTGTGATGAAGTCGGAAAGAGCTTGAGCATTAATAGCAGTTTGAGGTTCGTAATGAATCTCAAACTGACCGAGTTCAATTGCTCAGTTGACCATTTTGCCTGAAGTATCAGATCGGTGCAGAATTTGTTTTAACTGGTAAGAAGTGAGCACCGTTATGGAATGTTATTGAAAATAGGGTCCTAGCCTGCGGGCTGCGGTGACTAGTGCGAATGCCAGCTTCTCCATGGGAGGATTTCACAATTCAGCATCATGCAGTGTTTGCTTACGTAATATACATGAGATTGTTGAAGTCCTTCTTCTCGGATGAGGACATAACTGATAGCCGAGTTGCTAACTCCTATGTACAAATATATCATCTCGTCGGGAACTGGCTTTTGTAAAGTTGGTGGCTGATTAAGCGCTTCCTTGATATTGATTAAAGCTATTTGGCATTTCTCGATCCATTCAAAACATTTTCCCTTTTTTATTGCTTCAAAGAAAGGTTTTCAACGATCAGTTGACTTTGAAATGAATCTGTTCAAGGCGGCAAGTCGGCCAGTGAGAATTTAAACGCCTTTGACCAATGATCAATTTTCCCTTTATTGTTATTGGATTGATTTCAGTTCCTCTTTGAGTGACCATGTAACCCAGGAATATGCCTGACCCAATTTCAAATGTGAATTTCTTCGGGTTTAGTACCATTGAGTAATCTCGGAGGATATCAGACATTTCTTGCAAGTGGATTACATGGTCGGCTGCATGTACAAACTTCACCAACATGTCATCCGATGAGTTTTGAGAACATTTAGTTGACCAACCTTTGATAGGTGGCTCAAGCATTTTTTGGTCCAAAAGGCATCATGGTGTAGCAGTATAAACCGCGAGCTGAGTAAAAAGAACTGCTTTGAGCCTCCTCGGGATCCATAGGAATTTTATTGTGGCCTGAATAAGCATCCATGAAGCTCATAAGTTCGTGTCCCGAGGTGGCGTCCACCATGTAATCGATATGAGTAAGAGGATAACTGTCTTTGGGGCATGCTTTGTTCAGGTCGGAAAAATCAATACATAGGCGGCACAAGCCGTTGCTCTTTTTAACAAGAACGGAATTTGATACCCTAGTCGGGTATTTGGTTTCTTGAATGAATTTGTTGTCGATGAGCTTTCTTACCTCTTCCTCCAAAGCTTTCTGACAATCTGGACCGAGTTTTCTTAGTTTCTGTACAACAGGTTTGACTCTTCTGTTAAGATTAAGTCGATGACTGGCTACTTTCGGATCGATGCCTTTCATATCTTCATGCTTCCAGAAAAACACGTCGGGGTTAGCCTGGAGAATCGAATACGTTGGGTTCAAACTGGTTCCTGGAGGTTTGCACCTATCTGAAGTGGTTTATCACAAGTCGGTTCATCGACAAAGATGGTTTCTATCTCATCTGAGGGTTCAGCTCGGTCGTTTCTGCTCTTTTCCATGAATTGTGTTTGAGGATCCAACTCGTCCTCCTCTTTCATTGGTTCCTTACCAGGTCATCTTCTAGGATCGTAGGTTAAATCTTCGTTTAAAATCTTCTCTGAGTTCGATGTGATCTCGGAATCTTGAATTTCAACCTCAGTTGTATCACGCTCTGAGATAATACACGATGGTTCCAAGTCTTGAGAGATTTTCTTCACGCTTTCAATCGTGTCTCCAGTGACAATATTCACCATTCGGATTTCTTGAGAAAGCACGGCGCTCTCAACCTATTCTTGCGTAAACCAAGTTCACTGCCTGAATTTAGGAGTGAAATAACCCGCTATGAGTAGATGGGACTTTGTCGGGTCGTCTGCGTCTTTAGTCGAAAGGCTTGAAGTTTCAAAGTCCTTCCTGATCTTGATTGCTTACGCGGCCGGTTTAGCTTCCGTCAATCTTCCCATTTGTCCGATTTTTCCCATATACTGGTGGTGTTTGCCCTAAAGATTTCATGCCAGCTAAGGCACCTCCGTCTTTCGTGAGGTCTAAACACCCACGAGGCCCTCGAAACGCTGGTTTTATGGATAGAAAGAAAGGGTTGGAGGAGGGGTCTTGATTTCTATTTTATAAGGGTTTTTGCGTATGAGATATGATAGGGTTGGAGCTGTCCTGCGGTCTGAGCCGAGCTCGAAAGCGAAAAGACAGCTACTCTCGATCCCTTGTTCAACCGCTTATCAGGTTTCTGAGGAACTCATCTACTACCTATGTCGCCTAACTACCGTGTTAAACTACCGTTGGTCAATCAACAACTCCTCTAGTCGATATCAATATCAAGGCAAGGAACTCTCAGCCGAAAAAGAACTCACCCTTGCTTTAGCTCCCCTAAATTCCAAGAATAGGGAATGAATCTAAATGAGACGAAATAAAACGAAATGCGTCGAAATGAGAGGCAGTGTATCGTTCGGTCTACCCACCCGGGCATCCCTCTCTTGGGACAGGTCGAAGCTTAGGCCTTTGGTTTGGGGGACATTTTACAGTCTAATCTGCAAACCAAGCTTCTCTATCACAGCTAAGCCAATTTTGCCGACTTTGATTCAATATGACGGAACTTGCCTACAATCAAGACCAGCACTTTATATAGTAGGAGCATTCCTGGCTCTAATCTAGTCTCTGATAGCGTAGCTAATGTGTCATGCTAGGGTCGACAAAGTTGAGGCTTTTTTTCTTTCTCAACGCCTTCTACGATTCCCTGAATTCTGAAAGATTCGGTGCATCGCCAGTTCCATATCACCCTAAACAAAAAGGTCGGTACCCTTTTACCTAGAAGCAGCTATCCCTAGTGAAAGATCTTAGCGGCTTGCCCAATTTGAACATTTGAAAGAGGTTAGCCACTCTTCCAAAAGGAAGGAAGCTAAGCTAATAAGATGAAGAAAAACTCTTGCAGGTAAGACAAGAGTAGAGCGAAAGATGTTATTGCACTAAAAAGCGAAAATGGCACTCTTTTTAACTTAAGGGCACGGGAACACCAAGGAACTTTGCTATTCTACAGGCCCATACATAAGGACTGGGATTTCACCTATTGATCTTGCCACAAATTTTGACTTCTCTTTTTGAAATTATTTCAAACGAAAGGGTTTAATGTTTTCTCACTTCTCACTGGCTGTCAAAGGGCACCAAGGAATCAAGTGTGGAAAGACTACCTAAAGCTAAGACTCCTTTTCGGTTGCCCTCTACAACTAAGTCAGTTTTTCTCTTTCGGCTCCTAGACCAGTTGTGATCTTTCCTCCTATTGGTTGGTTTGCTTACTTAAAGATATGCATTGTTAGAGCCAGTTCCTTTTTTGCTATACCTTGCACATCGACGAAGGCCATTATTGGGGCATTGTTGCCACTCTATAATCGTAAGATAAGAATATCGTAATCATCGTTGTTCTTTCTGTCTAAAATGGGACCTGTCTTTTTCGCCACATCGCGTATAACGGGACTCGAACCCAATTCTTCCATGACCCCCATTTCTGTCTCGCCTAATTCTCCCGCCACAAACGCCCACCCCACGCACAGCTCACCTATAAATCCACTTCGGCTAACGCCTGGTGTCCTTCGGACCCTTCTTAGCTTTTGCGGCTCACCCTCAATGTAATCGACCCTTACTAACGGGTCCGGACTCTTCTAAGCTGCGCGACTCAAGCATAAATGCCCTGCGGACCCTGGACCTTTACTAGTTTATTATTTAAGTAGACGTGAGGCGCTGAGCCTTTTCTTTTCACTAATAATGATAAAGGGGCTTGCCACCCTCCTTGATTGAACCTTTCCTGGATCAACAATAAGATAAAAAAAAGAAAGGAAGAAAGCTTACCTGCCCTAGCTCCAAAGCCTAAGTGACGTGGCAAAGCACCGAGCGGGTTGAGCAGCACAGAAGATGCGAAATTACCTAATTGATAACACCATATACCTGGTGCCTTATATCTGTCCTATCGCCTATCGGTAAGTGACTCGTAAGCTCGGTGTAGTCTAAAGCTCCTTTCCCTCAGCGGTCTATCTCTGAGCGGACGACAAGCCTCTTCAGTCCTTTCATCCGATGTGAGAAATCATAGTACGGAGCCAGCTCCTGCCTTACTGAAAGAGGAATATTATTGCTCTGCTTTGCTCACTCTACAGGGAGCATATTCGAAATAGGTAGGATTATCCGGTTGGAAGCGAAGTCCCTACTACAAGAGCTCTAGGGCTTGACCTTTGAATACCATTCCCAACCAATGCTGCGCGTCGGCTTCTACTTCTCTTCATGAACTAGTGCTCGCTTGCTGATAGCTTCTGTGCCAGGAATCCCAAGCTTACTGAACTGAGAGCGAATGCTAAGGAGGAAAGTGGAAAGAGCTCTAATAAGTTCAATTGCATCGATCCTCTCCTTTTAGTCGTCAATTTCACCTTCCCTCGTACTACTCTGTCCCGAAGAATAACTAGGGGCTAGCAACTCCGGCAGTATGGACCTGCTTAGGAAACGTCTTCCTTCAAACCTTCCACGAGTAGGGAATTCTGTAGCACCAAGACTAGCTGATTACCCGGTTGGTTATCCCGCAAAATAACCTGAAAAGGCTGGGGCAGGGCAGGAAAACCATAGTTTCTGAGGTCCCCGAGAGGCCAGACTCGTGCTGGTTGGGGAACTAAACTTCCACATACAACAGGTAGAAGACAAGACGGCAGTGATTAGAGAGTCGTGCTGATCTGGGATTGGTATGAGTTCTGAGTCCTGATCCATCAAATATCCCTGACCCAGACCATGTAAAGAGTCCCGAATCGAATAAGGACCGAGTCTACCTACGCGTCAATCTCTTTTGCTATCGGTTCTTACTCCAAGTATACGCTCACTAGACCGGAAGATTCTTCCACTTCAACCAATTCGGATACAAAAAGCGGATTAAGCCAATGAAGGAAGATTTCAAAATTCTCATTCAATACGGACAATGCGGGCAGCAACCCGGCTGGTGGTACAAATACACATACCGCAAGGATCGAAACACCGGCTTATGGGCCATGGATTCAGGTACTACAAAGATCGCGAACTCACCACTGTAGCTCGAACTTTAAGACACTGTAGCAGCAGTCGGCACTAATGCCAGGTGCAAGAAATACGCCCTTTCTAAGCATCCTTGTCGTCAAGCCCTCGGTCACCGAGCCGACCTCGTCCGCTCGGAAGGACACAACCCCGGCCAGCCTTCCGAATCACCTATCAAGTTGGGGAGTTGAAGGCGAGGGATCTATCGTGGATCTTAGCTATCAGGTTGGGAAATGGGGTCAAGTCAAAGCCTCGGAACCCGCTTCAGAGGTCGGAGCTTCCATCGAGGGGTTGCCCGTTTAACGAATGGTCAATACAAGTTCTTATGCTTCATGTTGATCACCATAATGCGTTTCTTCTCCATCTGCGGTAGGGAATTTGAGCACGTATTGAAAAATTGATACGACAACGCTAAGTTGTAAAGTGTCGTTCTTCTTACGATGGCGTTATATTTATTTTTTATATCCATTACTTGAAAGGTTTCCATAATAACTTTGGAGGCCCGTCCAACACCTTCAAATCGGATGGGAAGAGTGATCTCGCCCAGGGGGAGTTTTATACCCCCGTTGAATCCCTGAATTCGATCATTGCACGGTTTAATATCGGCGGGATCAATTCCCATTTATTCGAATGCTCTGAGCATTAATATTCTTAAGTAGGTTCCCGTGTTCACCATAATTCGATGAACAGGTATTCCGCATATCGGCGCAGTGATAACAAGAGGATCAGAATGAGGATGTTCAAACAAACTACCATTCTCTACACTGAATGTAAAAGGATAATTGTGAGCATTGATTGTTTCTCTGAGGTCAGCGGTTAGAACATTTTTACCCAAATTGTGCGCTTCTCGGGCGTATGCTTTGGCCTGTCGGCGGGAGAGAGTTGGCCTCCCGTCATTCGTGTTTACTCGAAGAATGTAAGAGAAACTCGGTGAATAACTTCTTTTGGCCCTTTTGTGATCTTGCTCGGGTATGGCCCCCGGCATGCCCGAAGTGAGGGTAAAGACTTCTTTATCCCCTTGTCCATTCCTCTTTGGGTTCACGGTTCTGTCGTCGTCAGGAAAATCTTGAGGTCTCCCTTTACATCTGAGGTCGGAATTTCTGGCAAACTTGCGGACATGTGGGTTGCCAATTAGCCTCAGTAGAGCCGACAACAGACTCAGACATTCATCAGTATTATGTCTGACAGATTTGTGGTAGGCACAATATTTGGATTGGTCAAGTCGGTCTTCAGGAATCTTAATCGGCCTTGGATCAGGAATAAGACCTTTTCCCTTTAGTTCTTCAAAAATAGTGGAAGCTCCTGCCGAGTAGATGGTCTGGTATCTTGATGTCAAATCTTCGGCATATTGCTTTTTTTCTGCTCTTACCTCGTGATCGTTTGGATCTCTTTTCTGGGGGACCCCCGAATTGGGGCTTTCCCGACTTGTTGCCAAAGTAATTCTTGTTCTTTCTCTTCCCTTCTGATCCCGACTTCTGTTCTTTTGTTGAGAAATTAAAATTGGGAACCGACATCGACTCTTCAGCAATTATGTGTTGCTGAGCTCAGGCGAGAAATTCTTGCTTTCCCAATCTGCTATCAACTATGAAGGAAAAACTACACTTAACCCACCTAAATATAGGATTTTTTGCACTTTACCCTCTCAACTTTTTTTTGTGACACTTTGCCCATATAACATTCTACAAATTTGCACTTAACCAATTTCCGGTCACCGTCCGGCCATTTCTATTAGCAAAGTGTAAATAAAGAAAAGTTGAGTGGGTAAAGTACACAAACACGTATAGGTGGGTGGGTAAAGTGTAATTTTTTAAATTACAATTAACTGGATGAATGACTGAAAAGTCAATTTTGCCTTCAGAAATTCTCGATGATGACCAGAAATTGGTTAAATGCAATTTTTTCGCAAAGTTGTATTGACAAAGTGTCACAAAAAAAAGTTGAGTGGGTAAAGTGCAAAAAACCCTATAGTTAGGTGGGTTACGTGTAGTTTTCCCACTATTAACCTATTTTGAACCTTGGCCTCGAGTTAGACTGCTTTTTGGTTAGAGAAACGTATTGGGTTTATTCTGACAAAGCGTCCATCGGAATGGCGGCAACCAATAACGTTTTGGGGTGACACGGTTCCATGTTCTGAACATGGTCATTGAATCGAGCTATGTAATCCTTTACAATTTCATCTTCCTTCTGAACAATGTTGGCAATCGACTCTTTCGGAACCAAGCAGACCTGAGCTCCTATAAAGTGAGATTCGAAAGTCGACCTCAACTGTTTCCTTTTCCAGATGGAATGGAGGGGTAGTGAATGATACCATTTTTGAGCTCGAGGCCCAAGGGTGAGAGAGAACATTCGACACATCAATGCGTCAGTAGCTCCGTGTAAGTCCGTCCACGAAGTGTAATGCCCAAGGTGGGCATCGGGATCCAAGGTCCCGTCTTAGAGGCCTATTTGTGGAACTTTGATTTTGCCTGACAGAGATTTTGATGTGAGTTCCGGTGCCAATGGAGAATCATCTTCTAGATAGACGTGGCCCATGGTTGAGGCTTGTCTAGGGGAGTCTTCTTGAGCTTTCTGCCGAGTTTCTAACTTGGAGATTTTCTTCCTTAGGACTTTTAACTCTGCCGATCCGTTCCTGGTAGAACGATTCCTTTCTATTTGTAGGCACAAGTCAGTTGTATTTCTGGTTGCGGCAACATCGTCGTGCGACTGCAGGGGATCTTTGGTAATGGCCTGAATGACTCTCTGCAGTCATCCCTTGAGAATGTGCCACCGGTTGATTGGCGACAACTGGAGGATCATCATGAATTGAACTGCAACCTCTTCTCTTCGTGGCAAATCATTGTGTGGTTAAGAGGTCGCATGTGTTGTGCCTGTGCGTATGACGTGTCCTTGTGCCGGTGGTGTTCGCGGTTTTGCCGGAGTGATCGGTACAGTAGATTGTCCGAGGGCAGGCACAGAGGCATCGTTTGTGCCATCAACGTGGAAAAACCTTTGACAAACTCTAGATTTTGAAATAGAGCCGCAAATTCTGGCATCGCTGGTGGCATAATTGTTCGTTCGGCGGATTGAGCTGTGCCACGGCTAGGCCCAGCCCTTGAAGTTTGCTCTTGCTGTCCAGATTGGGACATGGTGATCTTTTGGATTATAAACAAAAGTGTAAACTTGATTGGCTGTGTATGAATCGAAAGTATGAAATCGAAGATTAACCTCAAATCACTTATGAGGCCCTCCTTCTAGCACCAAACAGTTGTTGTATGAAATTTAACAACAATAACACTATGTAATTAAAGCGTGAAAAGTAGAGACTTTGTATTATTGCCGTGAAAATTGCAAAGTACAGGAAGTCGTTTTTGTGTAAAATGAGTTATTCTGCATGTGTGTATTAAATGCGTGTCCAAAAGCCCCTCGTACAATAATCTATTATGCTATTTATAGTAGTGTGTTTGACTTCCTGTATGAGGTAGGTGTGATCACATATAATGCAAAGTAACTTTATGAAGCGGCTTGTCGGTCAATGGGTGTACAGTAATGATTGCAATGTAGCACGTGGTCCAACTATATGGGCGCTTTGTCACCTGCTTGGGTTTCGGTCATCTCGGACCTCGGTTTGCGAGGAGAACCTTCGAGAAGGAATCTTTAATTTGAACGCGAAGTCGGTTCGCATCTATGTGTGAAGTTGGTTTGACACTAAGCTTGTACCGAGTTGTGTCATGTAAGGCGTATGAGCCATTTTGAACAATAATTTTTAGATAATACTCGTAAATCTTCACTTTAAACCTTGCTAGTCAGGTTGGTTACAACACCTACTTTCTTCGGGACTCAAAAGGAAAAAATGCAATTGGCTTGAGCCTTGTGGTTTGAACGCTTGTGGCAGCCTTGGCGTGTGTGCGGCTTGAGCTCGGCTTTCTTGGCGACGCGTGTTGTAGTTGAAAGCTCCTCGACGTGCTGCTGGGACGGCTGAGAGGTCTCGGCGTGCTGGGGCTCAGAAAGGGTCCGTGGCTTGCTTGGGCTCGGCTCGCCAGAAGGTGCTCGGAAAATAAAAGGGGTGGCCGGATTTTTGGACTTAGGCTAGGGCTTAGGATATTTGAAGGTTTTCTTGCTTAGGACATTTTTGTGGGAGAAGAAAAAATGAAGACTAAGGGTGATGGTCTTATTTTTATATCTCATTTACTATTCACCACCCCCTATTACTACTCACCCCCCTCCCCCCTCCTTTTACTATTTTGCCATTAACTCTTTTCTTCTCTCTATCTCTCTAAACTTTCTATCTCTCTAAGTTCTCCAACTTTCAACGAATCATTGGATCTTCAAAAAGATTCCGAAAAAATATCGAAAAAATCCCACGGCCTCGGCAAAGCATTTTTCTCTAACAAGGTAATTTTTTTTTACGCGGTAAATATTTCTAATTTATTTTTTTTGAAACTGGAGCCACGTCCGGCCGTCGCTTCCGGACGCGGCCGGGC